ATCGATCGTGAGACAATGTGCAATCAATCGTCTATAAACAAAATGCATTTTCTCAAATTTATAAACTTTTTTTTTATAGGAAAGTAGCGTTTTGAGATCTGTCGGTAAACGTATATTACAAGACAAAAATATGTTGTAGTGACAGAAAAAAATTATCACTAAAACCAAAGTATATATCCGTTATCAAGAAGTTTAAGTGAACGATTAACAATGGAAATCTTGTTAAATAAGACACCACAACTAAGAGGAATTTACTACAAAACTCGTTTAACTATGATTGTTGAGATACTGGCAGGTTGCAAATTAACCTTAGTTATTGGGAAAAAACCATTGAGGGGTTGATTTCTCTTTAGTACAAATAATTAGCTTTAGACTACTTTATCAATTTAGCAAAACTAATTTATTTATCAATGTTATATAATCACATTATTATATAATTGTTTTTGGAAAAAGTCTCACCTCACATAATATTGTATTTTCAATCGAGTTTTGGACGATAATGTGTATTATAATTTTTATAAGTTTGTAATGAATCATTTTGAAGATATTTATATAAAATATTCCAAGCGGCGTTTGTCGTTGAGAAAGATTAGTTAAATCAGTAAAATTGTGGCAGTTTACTGACTTTGATTGACACTTGGGTCTCCACCGAATTCCAAATATGTATATATTTTTATATCATTCAACTATTGAGTTACACTATTATGTAATAAATGAAATGAAAACAAAACAAAGAAAATTGGAGGAAGTAGTAAAGTCATTCAAAGTAAGAACAGTAGAGAGAATCAAGACTGTTTGCTTTGCTTGATTTGTGAAATTAGTAAACCCCACAACGACACAACACACACATCTTCTCTCTTTTGTTTTGTCACTTCTCTCTTTCCATATGATCAATCCCATCATCTCACACTCTTCAATTTTCTTTTGTGGATAATAAATATGCTTTTTCCAATCTCATTTTAGTTTCCACAAGTTTATATTCCAAATGTTTTAAATCAGACATAAACGAAAAAAATGCTTTAACTAGAAATTGATCATTGACTTTGAGTAGTTATCATCATCTAGTACTATAATTGCTGATTTTCATTTTATAGGTTTGGATCTATAAGCTACATCATATCATTGTATATTAGCATAGTCGTTTTTGAACGTAAGCAAATCAATAATGGATTTACGGTTTTCTAAAAATCAAAATTGGTTATGTTTACCAAACCGGCTTATTTTTGAATAAAAATGTGCAAAATGACTTTCTTTATTTCTTCAACTTGAGTATTAAAATTCATGACTGGTTACGTGTACAAAAAATCGTAAATTAGTTTTGGTTTTTTGTTTTGCCTTGTCATGGGCCATGGCTCAATTACTTGTTTTGTTTTAGGTTTCAATTTCAGATA